ACAAAGGTTTCATGGATGTACTCGAGATGTCATTTAAAACTAATTTTAGGGGCATTTCAAAAAGCGCCCCCTGGTGGTAGCCCCAAATTTGTCACTTAAGAGTTGCCTTTTTGGGGATGTTAGACCCACATCTACTAATTACAGGCCTCAAACCTTTTGTACTCGAGATGTCTTATAAATGTTTGCTAGCTCCCAGAGTATATGATAAATATAATATTTCTTTATTATGAGTACCTAGGCTTTGGCATTCCTGAGATTATTGCAGATTATATAACTGTAACAAACTTCTGTGTATGCTATATTTGTAGCATATCTGCAAGGTATACTTAGCACAGTATTCTGATTTACTTGTGTATAAAATAATTGTAAGAAATGTAGGTAAGAATATTGCCTCTGAATTGAAAATATTGCTTTTGTTCCTTGCATCTGAAAATCTGGAGGATTATATGTGCGTTGAAGCATATTATGAGATAAGTTGGGGGCTGATTATATGACATATGCCAACACATATAGCTGGTAGTTCAAAAACTGAGGATCTTGAAATCATATTGATCTCAAATGAATCTTAGCTTTACACTATTCAGGTTGACTTCATCTGAGTGAACAATCAGATCAACAGATATAGAGATATCGAAAATAAGATCAATACTGTCGCAACATGCACATTTTATAATGTTTTCTTAAACTTGAAATCAGTGATAGAATCTATGCTTATTTACTTTATTCCTTAATTTCACTCTTGTCTTAAATATTTCACCCTTCGAAGCATGATCATCAAACAATTTTATACTCAGAATCACAGCATTTGTCGATGGTAAATATAGAAGAACATTGATGGATGATGTACTTAGATATGAAGATCTGAACACAAACATAGTCAACTTCCCTGAAAATCTACATCAATTTAACAACTAACAACTGCTATACTTCGACAAAGTGAATCTGAATGTCACAAAGGCATTAATCTAGGAACGTAAAATGGGAACCATTTCAGTAGAATTTATATGGTCCATTTGTATAGAAATTACAAGAAAATGCGAACTATATTCGTTCCAATTTGTATTGATTGGCATTTAAATCTACAGATTTTATACCCCTACTTGATAAAAAAACTTGCAATAAAACATAGAGACCGAGATAAAATTCATGATTTTTTATTCGCTAGATTTGTATTCCTGTACACGTCAAGGATATTTGTATTAGGGACACAGTTATGACAAATGGTTTTGGCGTCTAATTAGCGCAACTTGAGATTAGCATAAGCTAACACATCAGTCATTGTTAGGCAACAATATTTTTTATGAGAAAGAATTTATCAAGATTTTATGTTCCAATCATAGCAATGCATGATGTGGAATGAATATCTTAAAGTGCCAATCTGATAATTGGTAAATCTGGTAATACTTTCTTTTCTCTCTCTGAAATTTCTGTATGTACTAAGAGTGTCATCTGCATGTTTGTTTACTCTATTCCTTGCTGATTTCTCATCTTCCTCATGTAATAAACATTACAAAAAACATTACAAAAAATGAACATATTGACTTTTGATATATTACTGAGAAACACAGATAACATAATCGTCACAAAAAATGAATATACATTGAAAAAATATATATTGAAAGTAGTGAAATCAAATATCAATAGTGTAAAAAGCATTTTAATATCCATTACTCGCGACTTCCAAAATATCAGAGATTAAACAATTCTAGAATATCTACTCATTTTAGCTAATTGAATCCTATATTTTGGTTGGACAACCTTTTAACATAACTTTATTTTCATAAGATAGCCACTGAATTTCCGGATGATTGAGAATATTGGAAACCTTTGTTTATACTAGACTCAATCAAAATGTAATAGGAAAGTACGTGACTCCACTCTAATCTCACATACCACAGTATTGATAAAAAGCGATCTTGCAGCGAAGTTACTCTCTTTAGGCTCTAAATCTCTAAATGATGTAATATTGACTGAAAATGAAAAATAAAATGAATTTCCCAAGGCTAATTTTCAAGAAGGATTCTTTGGGGTTTTGGTTTGAGAATCATTTTTTCTTTCTAGGAAATATAGCATATTACTAATATTAAATGAGTAGAGTTATATCACTAGTAAACTATTTTCTAGGGTTACAGATTTCAAGGAAATTAGGAGAATTCCTGAAGATGACATTTTGAAGACACTAGTTGATCAGTGAAATATTTGAACAAGGATAAGTCATTAGCAGTTCATTTGATGGGCCCTTGCAAGATGAATGAATATACTGTTTTCTATGCTCATTTTGGAAAAAATCAGAAAAAATATTTTCAAAGTATGTTCTACAAGTTTGTCATGCACTCAAACAAGAAACCATGCATCATTTTAATCAGTTGGTCAAATACATAAAAAAAAACAATATAAAATATAAATCATATGGACAATCAGAATTTTACAAGATTTTGATGTAAAAAACAAGTCACTTCAGCATGTCCTTCTGATATCTGGCAAACATTCAAGTAATTGAGAAATAATTAAGAATGACTGATCTGAGATCAGCTTGTTTTTAACTCACATTTAAGGATTAAGGAACTCAAGAGATGGAGTTCACAAAACGGGGATCTTTATGATCAACCAACTATGTACACCTTGAAAGTTATCATCATTAAATCATTAATTACACAAAAGTTATCATCAATTATCATCAATGTTATCACCACACAAGGAGTTTTCATCAATTGTCATCAATCTAAGACCATCTATACATTTGAGAGTCTTATCACAGCAGACCCATCATTATAATTATCTCACATACATTTTATCCTCTATTCCTGTACCCCTCTAGAGTGATATACACAAGGTAAAATGTCCGTCTGCTCATGCCTATTTCACTCTATTTCTCTCTAAAATTTGAATAAAGTGTTTGACTTAATCAAATTTTTATACAATTTAGAGTATGTACTTCATACCTTCTCACTTGAATCCTTTGAAATTCCACTCTTTTCCACTCTATTTTGCATTTCAAAACACGCCTACCATGACATTTATCTATGGACAGAGTGGTATAGATAACTTATATCTCCACACTATGTCAGATCCAATAGAAGATAAGACATTCGCAGCAACCCCCAAGTCATGGATGTGAGAAACTAGAAACTCACTCGGAAAATTCAAGTTGGATATGATTTCCACATTTCAATCATCTATTCCTGCATTGCATAAGAAATCAATGATTTTCAAATTTACAAGATTATGCTAGGTAATTTGAGAATGATAGATAAATATTTAATTTTCCAGTTTTATTAACATGGATTGCAATTAATGTTTAAAATATTAAATGATATACTCGTATATTATCCAAGAAAAGTTTTATATTAATTCAATCCCCCCCTTCCCTCATACTGAAAATTCCCGAAGCTATTTTTGAGAAAGAGTGATATGACACTGGAGTAAAGGGGTGGGGGAACATAAGACTTTGATGCAGTATTATGATAACTACTACTTCACTCAAGATTACTGTAAAATGGACCAGACATATTTATAGTAGCTGTACACTGTCCATATTGATAAAATTAGCAGTAAAACACTCTAAGACTGATTAATTTGTATAACTGCATTATCTCTCGTAATATGCTCCAATTAATAGCCTGGATGTCTCTATTTGAGTATTACATCAGTTTTTGTATATACTCCCCCTCATCTCTCTCACTGACTGGCTCCAGGTAAGAACAAGGCAAAAACCTGCCATTTGTTACAGATGCTGACCACTGAACACCAATGGCCAAACACAATTCACAAGAGAGTTTTAACCACTTCTGGTGATGACATAAACTCTAAAAATTCAGGAAGAACTGAGTCTTGTATTCCAAACCCATGGGTCTACTTACCTTCCTGATCCCAAAAAAGGGAATTATATACAGGTACAAGGCAATGGGCAAATATTTAAACTGACATGAATTCAACCTGATATTTGTTCCTCTGATTGCATCCATATGAAAAATTGAAAATACAAAGCAATATCCATTGAGAAATTAGCATTCAGGATCCTTCTGGGAAATCAAGTAATAGATCAGTTTCACACTAAAGACAAAGCAGAACCTGTTCATGAATATCATGCTTGTCATGTTCATTAATGAGAAACAGAGTGGAAATGACAAGGAATGAAATAAACAGGGATGTCATTAAATTCCCAAAATTTCGAAAATAAACGTCATACAAATTTTATGAAAAATGTTGAGAGAAACAAGTGTGTCTTATTCAAATATTTAAACAAGGTATTTATAAGTTAATTCATATAGCTAAAGTTAATCAACATTTCCTACAGATTAAAATCGCGAAACAGCACATTTCAAATCAGATTAATTTACCAGATTATATGCTACAAAAGCGAGATTAAAGGGATTTGGAACCCAAATCTCCAATCAAGTATAAATTAATCTTGTTTGAATCCTTCACTCCATAAATCACCACCTTAAGATCTGTTGCATCAGAAATTATTTTTACAGTCCATACATCAACAAATCTCAATATCACTGTACCAGGGGGTTAGGATAATCCAAAATGTGTAATTGACCAAATGGGGCAGCTGTCAAGATAATTCTCACAAGCAAACCCTGCACTGCAGTTATCATGTTTGAAATATGAAATAGTATAAGATACAAAAGGCCAATAGACATCAATTGAATACCTTAAATTACATGAAAATATGGAACTTCATTCACATTTTATGAAGGAATTTAAAGGAATAAGCATGACCAGATGGGTATTGAGAGTATTAAGTCTATTTGTAACCAAGGTTCTCTACTTTGTTTTACCAAACAGACTTAATAAATAGAGTTGTACCCCAAAGACATGTTAGTATTCAGCCAACATAAGTCTGTTAAACTACTAAAGCTGACTATTTATAAGTCCAACCACTTTCAAACCTCAAAGAAAATGTCTTATTTGGTCTCGCCAATGAAACAGACAAACAAGCCAGAGTCATTTTACCAACAATCAAGCAAACAAACAAACATAAAACCACTCACCTGCAAATCCATCAGCACACTGACAACTGAAGCCACCCTCTCTGCGAATACAGCTACCATTGCCATTACAAGGTTTGGAATAGCACAAATTGACCTCAGTATCGCAAAGGTACTCTGATGATGAGCCTGAAAAATCATATGTAATTTAATTAATACAAGGCATTAACATGCAAAATGCCACCACCTGCCAATTGTTACAGATGCCAACCACCAAATGCCAGCTGCCAAACTCAGAACACTGTGCCAAAAAAGTTGGAGACTATAACAATATTGTCCCCACTTGAGGAGGTGGCATAACAATTTATCATACCCAAACAACAATGGATAAAATAGACATTTCTAAAAGACTAAAAACATGCATTCTAAGATGTATAATAATATAATTAATAATAGATTTGTTATTTCTAATTATTCACCTTTAATTACATTATGATACAATACCAATAGCATCAAATACAATAGGGTTACAATATATTGTATAAAAATATCAGAGCGGGAAATAGCAGTGTGCAGGCGGTGTACAAGCAATAGGCCATTGATTCTACACAAAGCAGATATACAATTAATTTGCAGTAAAACATTATAAAATCAATCTGGATTTTCCATGGCATTTTTTGCACCTGTTTATAGAATTCGTCTACTGCAAGTTTATATTTTATAAACAACATTTTTGTAACATTGAAAGCGATGATAAAGCACTGCTGGTTGGTGATAAGATAAGTCTTGAATCAAGTCTGGTCTACCATTTGCTATTTCATCCATTTTGGTTTGAGAATGAATTAAGAAAGCATGGCAACAGAGGGGCTTGATACAAGATTACAAGTTAATGGGAAGCTGAGGCTGTGTCAATAGACAATGATGCAACCAATGACATCCATGCAGACAATAGGAACAAACATAATCAATGTACGTATATGTTCCACAAAAGCTATTAACCCCTTACTGCCTTTAGGAGGAAGCAGATAGCATAATGTTAAAAGAATCATGAATAATTTATTTATGAGGAATTCGAGGGTTAATATCTTTTGGTAAGCATCATGTTGCATTATGGGAAAAAATAACCATTTGCTTACCGTAACACAGATTAATCTCTGTATCACAGAGATATTGACTCCCACCTCCTTTGTAGCATTAGTAAAGCAAAAAAGCTGATTAGTTTTTATTATCAGGAGGCATTTGCAAAAAAAGTGATTTTGAATGTTAATCCTTCAAGCAAGTGAAGGTCACAAAGAATTATAGTTGAGAGATTTCGCAACTCACTTATAGCATGTTTATTATTCCCGTATAACTTATGAAGCATTTTATTACGTCATCATTTATTGCGCAGCTCTATATGTCCATAAGTGTGATATTCTTATGTATTGATGACGATTTATAAGATTATCACAATAAATGATGACATAATCAAACCCTTCATAAGTTATATGTAAAATGAGAATAATAAATGTGCTGTAAGTAAGTTGCGAACTCTCTCTATTTAATATTTATTCACAAATATTATTTAGGCAATACGCATACAAGTACTGAGACTGTGTCATTAAGTAATTTTGATTAAAAAGATGACTATAAATACTGTACCTGTAAAGCCTTCAGGGCATCTGCATTCAAATGCGCTGATTGGATGAATTGGTCGGAATAACATCGTTGGAGAAAATATAAAATCTGAGGCATTTCCAAACTTGAGTATAGAGAGACATTCTTCATACTTAAAACACGGTTCCCTAACACAGAGATTGTCATCAAATGGAAGGACCTAGAATACAATAGAAAAATTCTTATTGATCTTTATAATGGATTGAGTTCCTCCTACCCCCAGAATGTTAAAAAAGGCATTCATGTACTTTTAAATGGGTTACGTGATCGAATCTCATAATACTGTTTCTGGGTATATCATATACTAGTCGATGTGGCAATGTACTCTAAAAACTTCTTAAGATACTACATTTCACATTATATATTTTAGATATATGACAAAATAAAGAAGAGATTAAGGGAATTTTTTTTATATACTATATGTCTTTGCTGATTTTGATTTGCAAATAAAAAATGCAAATCATACCTCCAGTTGAGATATCTGTGCAAGAACGCCTCTTTGTAGGTAAACTCTTTCCCTGAGATACTGTTGCGTTCTGAAGACATCACGACTCTCTACGATCTTCTCCCTCACAGAGAAACTCACATTGAGGATCCGTGACATCACATCTGTATCTTCCCGAATATTAATTATGAAGATATCCTTCTTTGGGGCCGGAATAACATGAGATAACGCATCGAGAAATAAGTTGTAGACTGGGGACAGGAAGTGAGTCTGGGTCGTGTCGTTGAGCCGTACCGTGATGCTGTTGAAGAGCATATCTTCGGTAACCAATCGGACAAACAATGAGCAAATCGCTTTCACCTCATTTATACCATCTGAAACATAGAATAATTGTTTTATTATAACAAAGATGATTTAAAATATGAGATCTATCACACATAACTTCCAAATAAGGACATCGCACTCATCTTTGCATTATGGGTTTTTACCAAATTAACGAACAAAAATATTTGACAGAAATTTCACATGTAAGGTATTCAAATATTATCAATATATTATCATTTTATAGAGGTCTTATTGTACTCTTGATTATAACTGTAGCATCTTTAAGGGATTCAGATTTAACAGGTTTTGTTCAAATAAGTACCTTTCTAATAATTTGTATATTTATTTTAAAAATGAGGACTATTTTGAAAAACACATATATTGGTAAATTGTAACAATGCCCCCCCCCCCCCTCTATCCATATCTCCCCCCTCTAATACATATACGACATACATAATTCTTGGTTTAACAGGATGTGTGGAATACTAAGATGAATGAGCAGAAAGAAGCAGAGACTTGTAATACCTCAGGTGATATATCATATACTTGTGGTTTGGACAAGACTCTACTTATCTCAAGAGATATTTTAACACCAACAAAGCTAATTTTGTTCTAGATATCACTAGAAGGGAGTCTAATAGAGAACTTATCACAACAACATGATGGTGCAATGAAGATAGGATGGAAGAGTGGATATCTCCAAGAAAAAAAAAGTTTCAATAAGATTCTAAATTCCCTTCTAAGAAGTGCTCCAATTGCACTTGATAAGATCTTAGCTTTTATCAGTCTCTATTAGTCCATTTTTACACGGCAGAGATGCTATATCAGAATGTATTCTATGTGCCATTATAGTTGCGAAATCATAATTACGATTTTGGTATGTGGTAAAGCTTGAAAGTATATACATTTGAAAAAGATGAAATCAAAATTGCTTATCTCATTCATATGACATAGGGAAAAGTCCATGTCAATGTACAGTGATTTGATTCAAGTGAATTGATTGTTTCTATAGTAAAACATGCAGCTTGCTATGTTCTCCATGATACAGTATGTGGACTATCTTGATGGTTGTTAAAAGCCGTCTGCTTGAAATACCACTCTCGTCATCCTTATTCTACTCAATTTCTCTCTAAAATTTGAATAAACTTACTGATTTTCTTGCATTTCCATATATTTCAAAGTGTCAACTATATTCCTATCATTTTTACTCCTTGCTAATTCCACTCTTTTTACTATATTTTGCATTTCAAATCATGACTCCAGTGTTACCTCATTTTAAGGTAGTGTTCTACTTCAAAATTACTCTATAATTTGTATAGTGTTAATAATTAATCAAATATAGCTCATGAGATATGTTTTCATCATTGTTCTATCAAAACAATAGAGTTATTTATCTATTGCTGGATTTTAAATGTCTTATGCATTATTGTAGGTTTGGGGGATTTAATAGTATTATTTTGCTATACAAGAATATGTAATTCCTTATATGATCTTTACAGCCATTAATAGTTCTAACTATTCATAATATCACCTATTTCTGTTTTTTTCCTTTTCCCATTTATACTTTTTTTTATCGGTAGAACATACTTTGATTCAGATTTAACAGGTTTTGTTCAAATAAGTACCTTTCTAATCATTTGTACATTTTAAGTAGAAATATATATGTCCACATTGAAAAAGTAAAGAATAGAGACTTATAACATTCTAAGATGGCATACCTAACTATAATAAATTATACTTTTTCCCATTGGTTTATAATATGATTGTAATTTTTCTATCATCTATTGGAAAATATCATAAATGTAAAGTTGAAAAAGTTTAGACGTAATGAGACACTTCTTTCTTTTTTATAAAATGAGGACTATTTTGAAAAAAACCCACATAATGGTAAATTGTAACAATGCCCCCCCCCTCTATCTATATCCCCCCCCTTTATACATATACAACGTACATAATTCTTGCTTTAACAGGATGTGTGGAATACTAAGATGAATGAGCAGAAAGGAGCAGAGACTTGTAATACCTCAGGTGATATATCATATACTTGTGGTTTGGACAAGACTCTACTTATCTCAAGAGATATTTTAACACCAACAAAGCTAATTTTGTTCTAGATATCACTAGAAGGGAGTCTAATAGGGAACTTATCACAACAACATGATGGTGCAATGGAGATAGGATGGAAGAGTGGATACCTCCAAGAAAAAAAGAAGTTTCAATAACATTATAAATTCCCTTCTAAAAAGTGCTCCAATTGCACTTGATAAGATCTTAGCTTTTATACTATGAGTCCATTTTTACACGGCAGAGATGCTATATCAGAATGTATTCTATGTGCCATTATAGTTATGAAATCATAATTACGGTTTTGGTATGTGGTAAAGCTTGAAAGTATATACATTTGAAAAAGATAAAATCAAAATTGCTTATCTCATTCATATGACATAGGGAAAAGTCCATGTCAATGTACAAAGAATTGATTCAAGTGAATTGATTGTTTCTATAGTAAAACATGCAGCTTGCTATGTTCTCCATGATACAGTATGTGGACTATCTCGATGGTTGTTAAAAGCCGTCTGCTTGAAATACCACTCTCATCATCCTTATTCCACTCATTTTCTTTCTAAAATTTGAATAAACTTACTGATTTTCTTGCATTTCCATATATTTCAAAGTGTCAACTTTATTCTTATTAATTTTACTCCTTCCTAATTCCATTCTTTTTTACTATATTTTGCATTTTAAAATATGACCCCAGTGTTACCTCATTTTCTGGTAGTATTCTACTTCAAAATTACTCTATAATTTGTACAGTGTTAATAATTAATCAAATATTGCTATGAGATATGTTTTCATCATTGTTCTATCAAAACAATAAAGTTATTTATCTATTACTGGATTTTAAATGTCTAATGCATTATTGTAGGTTTGGGGGAATTAATATATTATTTTGCTAAACATGTACGGTATATGTTATTCCTTATATGATCTTTACAGCTATTTATATTTTAATTAATCATTATTTCCTATCTAACTATTCATAAAATCACCTATGTCTGTTTTTTCCTTTTCCCATTTGTACCTTTTTATCAGTAGAACATACTTTGAGAAGGTTGAGTCCATATCATCAAAGTTAACAATGACATCTTCTTTCTCAGGTCACTTTGCTTTGCAATCTGGAAAGCTACTACCCTTTTGAATATTATGTATATTTGCCACTTCAAAAGAGTTATAGTTATTACCACTAGCCTTCAGGATCTTAGGGTACTGAGATGCATTAAACCATGGTCAAAGCTACAAGTTAGATTTGACACAAAGACAGATATATCTGATAGTAACTTCCCATCTGTTCTGACAGAATCATCCCATGCATAAGATTATGCAACTGTCTTACGTACCCTTGAATTCCTCACTCCCACTCCCATCATGCTCATTTGGCCTCATTTCAGACATAATTTCTTTCTTAAAATTCAATAAAGTATCAGCTTTTCTGGAATTTCTAAAGTATCTTTGTAAACCATGTTAACCTTATTCCTTGCCAATTCCACTCTTTTCCACTGTATTTTACATTTGAAAACATGACTGTCTGTCTGACATTTTACATACCACCAAGTCTGAATCTTCCATAGCAACATAACATGACATATTCTGTTGACAGCTTGACAGGTTGAGGGATCACTACATATAGATCACCCAAGAGCGGAGCATTTCATTTCAAAGAGCCCCCCTGGCCCCAAAACAGAGTGTAAAAACAGGAGTAACTGAAGGATTGTAGTGGGGAGGAGCTCAAAAGGCTGTAGCTTTACTGTCTTCATTATACAGTTATGCCAGAAAATGAATAGTAGAGAGGACAGGGTGAAGAAAACCTGGCCAAAGATCAGGCTTTAAGACCACCCAAAGTAAGTACCTCACATATCTTAATCACTTTCAATAAACCAATTATATATTCTATATCATTTGATAATTAGTAAAATAAACTCCTGATATCTTAATGAACCAGATGAATAATACATGAAATTGAGCCCCACATGAAAAATTGAACACTACCAACATAATGTTATATCTCAGAATTCATTGTACAACCCACTCTATATAAATGAGTACTTGATTGGTAATTCAGGTACCAGGAACCACCAAAAGGGAGATATCATTTTATCACATGCTCTGTAAAATTCCAGTAATCTGATTGGTTGATTACCGTGTGAGTTTTCCCGTCTCACACGGCTGTCTCACACGTTACTAGAGGCAACCAGTGATGATCAAAAGCAACGATGTGACGTCACTGATTATATCACTTCTAGCTAAGGAAAACAATATGACGTCATACTATTTCACAAACAAGTACGAATACAACGGTATGACGTCATATTGTTTCAAAGTGAAATCAAAAATTATAATAGTTACCAGAAGTACACAGGGTACTGAACACAATCATAACTGACCAAATCAAAATGCTTCAAAATTCCTAGACATGTGATAAAATCGTCATCACACGTTTCAGCTTATGTGATACAGGAAATATTCCACTCGGGTAACAATGTATCACCACTCAAGCTTCGCTTTCGTGGATGATACAGTATTACCTTTCGTGGAATATTTCCTGTATCACATGCTGAAACGTGTGATAACTGATAGTCTCCCTAGGGAGAAACCATCCTGAAAAGTATTTATCTCATGGAAACTTACCAAATTGATCCTATTTGAAGATGTATAAACATTGGGGTTCAATTTCTAGATGATTGACATAGTAATTAGCTAATGAGCAAGATAAGATATGTCATGTTTATTATTATTATGCCATGTTTGACAGCTTAAATGTGAAATAATGTCCATGATATATAGAGATTATCCTATATGAGGTTCAGGATATTGGGATTATCCCGAGGCAAATATAATATATTTGCCCGAGGGCCGCAGGTCCCGAGGGAAAATATGTTATATTGGCCAAGGGATAATCCCAATATCCTGAACCGACTATAGGATAATATGTTTATCCCATACCAATCTTGGTCATCTGGTTCACATTGTTCAATCGCGGAAATATTTTAGA